AAAAAAAAAAAAATTGGCCAAGTTTAACTTGTAAAAAAATAACTGTAATTTTGGTCCCTTCAATATTCGTATTCGCAAAAGATCCGCATTCCGTTCCGTAAAGTGCACAGCGCAACAAATGCACTTAACGCCATAAATACCCAGATAACTCGTGGCGTAAACCGAAACCGCCCCTGTGAGAGAACCATTCTAGTAGCGTTCGACACTGTCAGCCATTCAATGCTATTAGAAAACATGGGGGCCTCTTCTCGCCCACAGGGACTCAAACGGTGGTCGGCGAATTATCTTAGTGGTCGTCACTCGTCAGTAAGTAGAGACAAATCGAGCACACTTAGGAAAATAAAACTGGGGGTTCCATAGGGTGGTGTCCTTTCCCATTACTGTTTAACTTTTACATTTCAAGGCTCCCTCAACCACCATAGGCAGTCGCGATTGTCTCTTGTGCTGACGATTGTTCGATCATGGCATCTGGGAATGGAATTGATGACTTGTGCTCGAAAGTAAACTGTTATATCGCCGAGCTTTCTTGCTTCTTCACTGCACTCTCTTTGCCACCTGGACGAATGACGTCAGACTACAGCTGGGAATTCACGATGACGAACCAATTTCGACGGTGAACAACCGGAAGATCCTCGGACTAACCTTCGAAAGTCTGCTCTCCTTCTAGGTGCTTACCACCGCAATTGTTAACAAAGTACAAAGCCGCAACAAGGTCCTCAAGTCGCTAGCCGGCAGCACCTAGGGCAAAGACAAAGGAACATTGCTGGCAATGTACAAGGCAATTGGCCGGCCGGTTCTGAACTATGCAGCGACCGTGTGGTCGCCGGGGACTAGTAGGATAAAACTGGAGACTTTCCAAAACACAGCACTCAGGACAGCGACAGGATGCCTTTTGATGTCGTCGGAACATCACCTGAACGACGAGGCGAAAATGCTCCCTATAAAGGAGCATAACACAATGCTCTGCAGGCAGTTCCTGGTTGGGAGCCACCGATGTTGCCATCCAAATAGGCAACTGCTTGCAGAGGAGCCTTCGCCCAGGCACGTCAGGAGGCATCTCTACGAACTGACGGACGAAGTCCAGAGGTTCATCAAACAACTTCTGGACCCGACAGATTATCGACAGGTCCTGAGCGGCATTCACAGAGAGGCAGTCTCGAGTTATGTAGACTCTCGACCTTTGAATGTCGTTCTGGGCACACAACCACCAGACGTCGACGAGACAGAACTTCGTCTGCCTCGCAGACTAGGACCACAATAACCCAACTGCGCTCTGGTTACTACAGCAGGTTGAACTCATACCTGAGCAGAATAAACGAAGATGTTCTAAACGATTGCCCGGCGTACGGAGAGACGCCCCATGACTCACAGCATCTCTTCGTATGCCCACTGAACCCCACCCTACCGACGCCCCAGTCTCTATGGACAGACCCCATCGAAGCAGCACGATTCTTGGGGCTACCGCTAGTAGAGTTTGACGACAACGATTGAGAAACTAACCGATCTGGGCATGGTTGTTGCCGCTACAACAACAACAACAACAAAACAAACAAAATCACTTCAATTTGACTTCAACCCTTCGCTTGAACTCTATGCGGTGACATATGTACGCACGTAGACTCCACGTTGGCACGTAAACACCCAAACGCTTTTTGGCTAGCTTAACATAGGTAACAATAAAAGCGAAGAAAACAAAATTACGTCAATTTGACTTCGATACTTCGCTTGAATTCTGTGAGTAGACATAATTACACACTTAAAGGCAAATAACATACAAATGCGTATTGTTTTTGATGTTGTTGTCATGTTTTTTGTTTCTTCGACTTTAAAATCACTCCCGCCGCCAAAGGAGTTTTCACTTCCTAAAGAATTGGCGCCCTCGCAAAACTCGTAAGATTTTGATAATTTGGTTGCAGTATAAGAGGAAAAGGTGCATGCATCAACTCTTATGCAGAATATGGTCAGATGAACGCATGCCTAAAGACTGGAATTTAAGTGTTTTCTGCCCAATTCATAAGAAAGGCCATTCACGCCAACTACCGCGGGTTCTGCCTTCTAAAAGAGGTTGAAAGGTCTTATCGAGCGTATTGCGTGAAAGACTGAAGCCACCGTCAACGAACTGATTTGGCATATCAGTGTGGCTTTATACCTGGAAAATCCACCATAGACCAGGTATTCACAATACGCCAAATCTTAGAAAAGACCCGCGAGAAAAGGAGCGACACTCACCATCTATTTGTTGAATTCAAAGCCGCTTTCAGCAGCACTAAAATGATTTGCCTATACGCCGCGAAGTCGGAATTTGGTATCCTCGCTAACTGATACGGCTGCGTAAAATGAAGTTGGGCAATACGGCAAGCTCCTGCGAATTGGGAAGGACCTCTCCGAGCCATTTAATACCAAACGAGGTTCCGACAAGGTGACTCCCGTTCGTGTGATTTCTTTAACCTGATGTTGGAGAAGATACCAAACGAGTCTTTAGACAAGGTGACTCTCTCTCGTGTTATTTCTTTAGTTTGATGGTTTAGAAGATAAGAGCCGCAGATCTGAACTGCTTAGGAGCAGTGTACTCCAATAGCGTGCAATTGCTGGCCTATGCCGATAACATCGACATCATCGGTAACAAAACCCGCGAAGTATTTTTTGCCTTTTCCAAGTTGGCTCAGGAAGCAAACCGAATGGGCCTGGCTGTAAACGAGGACAATACGAAGTATCTCCTGTCATCAAACAAACAGTCAGCGCATTCGCGCCTTGACATCCACGTCACTGTTGACTGTTATAATTTTGAGAAAGTAGAGGATTTCGTGTTCTTGGGAACCAGCTTTAACACCGATAATAATGTCAGTATCGAAATCCAACGCAGAGTCACTCTTGCAAACAAGTGCTACTTTGGACTGAGTAGGCAATTCAGAAGTAAAGTCCTCTCTTGACGTACGAAAACCACTGTCTGTAAGTCACTCATCGTGCCCTTGCTGGTATATGGCGCAGAAGCGTGGGAAATGAAAACATCCGATGAGGCGGCTCTATGAGTATTCGAGTACCGCAGACAATGGAACGATGAGCTGTATGAGCTTTACAATGTTATGGAAATAGTCCACTGGCTTGGCCAAGTCGTTCGAATGGGCACCGACGCTCCATCTCTTAAAGTATTCAACTCGGAACCCGCTGGTGGCAGCAAAGGAAGAGGGAGGCCCCCACTGCGATGAAAAGTTGGCTCAAAAGATGAGCGACTGGAGTGCTTTGTTGAACTCGGCCAAAATAGCTTAGGCGGTTACTGAGCCAAACAAGAATAGGAAACGAATAAAAACACAGTGCAAAACACATTTAAAATTATCTATAACAATCTATTGTTAGACCTTATAACTGGGAATTTTCATCGGAAAAATTTTAAAGAGCCTTTATTTTTCTAAATTTATTGAACTTTGGCCATCGTTAATTTAAAAAATGTCTATGAAAGTTTCCAAATGTGTAAAACATACTTTCGAGTAAATTGATATGTACCTCTTTTAAAGAAATCAGAAAAATATTGTCGAAGTTGGGCAACTTGAGTATTAATACCGTCTTCAATTTATATGGATGAAGCATTAGATTTTAAGATCTTTTTCGTAGTGTAGCTAAGGAATTAATCAATATGTTCTCAAAATTAATATATATAACCTGACGGTTTAGCAAAGAATTGGTTTTTCATAAATAAAAAAAATCGGCGTGGTACGGTCCGCTTACGTAAAAATGCACGCCCTGCTCCCATGTAGCGGTAATTTGGAAAATCTAAAATTTAGCGGTGTTTTAGAGGGTGTGGTTTTTATCTGATTTCAAACATTTTCAAAAGCCAGGATAAACTATTTCCATGTTGTACTGGACCCTACCTAAAACCTACACTAACCGGAGGTTATCTAGCCGTAGTTCTAACCCTTTATTAGCAAAATTTTAATTGACGCTTAGCTTATTTATCTTTACAGTTGCCTCAGCTTGTGGAAAATAATCCACTAATATCAATAGAAATTTTACTACGACTAATGAAGACGGTGGAAATAACGGAATATTTTAACGTTTTGGTACAAATGGATATAACATTGCATTCAATGGAAGTAGTTAACAGGTGAGAGTGTTTTTATGTTAGTACGGAGCCATAGCAACAAATTTTAATGGAACAATAAAAAAATAAATTTGTATAGGAAATATTATTTCATTTAGCAAGTCCAGCAAAATTTGGGCAGTAAGAATAAGTAAAATTTTTATAGCTGATTCTGACCTCAATTTCTCTGTGCTTTTGGGCTTCAAAGAAACTGGTTTCGAAATCCGAAAATTTCTCCCAAGCCAGAGCGCCTTCACAAATTTTATTGAAGGATTCGGAATGAGCCTACGAAATCTTAAAACGTCTTTAGAGAAGGAAGTGCAGATATTTTGTCACTGCTCGATGTAGGTTAAAATGGGAATGTAGGAAACTGTTTTAAGTCTACACGAACTAGGAATAAACCAAAGAGCTCAGGTGTTCCTAAATCCTGTGATGCCTCATAAATACCTAATCCCCTCAAAGGCGGGACACAAGGATTAAAAGAGTTCCGCGCCTTATACTCGTCAATACAGGGAGATAATCGGGTTGTCATGTATGCCTATCACAGTCGGGTGTTTGTGCCACGAGAACTGACGAGTAAAAAATGTCCGCAAGTTGTCCGCAGTACCATTTGCTTAGTGAACGCATATACCCAGCTAGACATTCTAAGATTGATGCCAATTTCAGTATGCTCACATGCAGCTCAGAACTTCAAGAGTACATAATTTCTTTTTACTGGTTGGTGTCGTAACCGCCTAAGCGACATTAGTCGAGTCCAACAAAGCACGTCAGTCGTTTCTCTTCTGTGTCAACTGACGCCAAGTCTTTCTCCACCTGGTCTTCCCATTACAGAGGAGGCCTTCCTCTTTCTCCGTTTAAAGCATCACGGCCCGCGTTTAATAAATTCAGACCAGGAGCGTTTCCGTTCAATCGTTGCACATGGCCAACCCGCTGTACTTTAATTCGCCGCACTATGTCTTTTTCGTTGTAAACCTACAGCTCATCCTTCTATCGCACGGTGTGGTGCATAGAAGAAGCTAGGTGGACAAAACTCAATTTTAAATTTCAATGTAATAACGGTGTATTTGCACTAGAAATACTCTTAAAAGTATCATCAATGCAATTTGTTTTTGCAAAATATAAGTAAAGAAGCAGTAGTTAGCCGCTAAAGTTAGTTTATCAGTTGCAGTAGCTTATTTACGAAAACTGAGGATGGTTCCGTGCGCAGAAGTGGAAAGCTTTTGACAGCCATTCATCTGGGAGTAGCCAGAATTGATTCTTGTGCATACGGTTCAAATTGCAGCTCACAACGTCGGGATATTTATATCCTCGTATCCTCTGGGTAGCGACCAAAGACCTGGTTGGCAGCCAGCTAAAGTGAGAAGGAGTAAAACTTCGCGTGCACTGGGTTTGAATGAAAAACAAAAAGCAGCCTTGGATGAGACCCCCTTTTTTATGACGACTATAATTTAAGGGTATGCACCTGGAATACCCGGACACCTAATGGGCAAGGTGCCTCTGCCCGGCTGGTTGATGCCCTCGGGACGGCTAAATGTGATGGACGTGGCAAGGCAAGCATGAAGCCTTGGGACGTCTACTACAGTAGCCATGTAAAGGAGCGCGAATTCAGTTTTAGATTCGTGGTAGGAGAGAGACTCCGTCGCCGAGTATTGGCGTTGACTCTGGTGGAGGAACATTTGGCCAAAATCCGGTTGGAGATAACATATGAGCGCTGTCCCCGGCACGATCTAAAATGAGTGCTTGGCGATTTCAATGCCAAGCTTAACGTTGAATAGCTGCATTCTCAACAGACGGTCAATTTATGCGCCCCTCGACTCACATACCTGCTCTCTGAGAGCACTCTTCAAAACCAGACATACGCGAGCAGTGGTGCCACATTTGCCACTCATCAAGTACCGCCACCGAAGAAACAGTCGGATTTCAGCGAGCCCGAAAGAACATCTGATGATACCAGAGAACGCGCCAACTACCGCGGGATCAGCCTTCTAAGCATAGGTTACAAGGCCTTACCGAGTGTATTGTGTGAATGACTGAAGCCCACCGTCAACGAACTGATTTGGCCTTATCAGTGTGGCTTTATAGCTGGCAAATCCACCATAGATCAGGTATTCACAATACGCCAAATCTTGGGAAAAACCCGCGAGATTAGGATCGACATGTACCATCTATTTGTCGATTTCAAAGCCGCTTTCGACAGCATGAAAAAAAGTTGTCTTTATGCCGATGTCTGAATTTGGTATCCCCGCGAAACTAATACGGCTGTGTTAAATGGCGTTATGCAATACCACCAGCTCTGTCAAAATTGGGAAGGACCTCTCCCAGTTCCCAGTCCCAGAGACAGTTCATAATAATAATAATAGATTGGCGCTTGCACATATGCTACTGTTTGGCCGAGCTTCTCCCCCGATTTGCGGCGTGCGCCTTGATGTTGACACACAAAGGGGAGGGACCTACAGTTGAAGCTGTTCTTCATGGCAGAAATACACTCGGAGGTTTGCCATTGCCTGCCGAGGGGCGACCGCTGTTAAGAAAAAACCTTTTTTCTAAATTTTTTGCGATGTTGCTTTGACCAGGGCTTGAACCCAGGCGCTGCGGAGTGAAAGCGTGCACTGCTGACCACTACACCACAGCGGCCGCCCAGAGGACAGTTACGACTTTGAAAAAGTAGACAACTTCGTTTATTTGGGAACCACCGATAGTAATGTCAGTCTTGAAATCCAACGGAGAATCGCTCTTGCCAACAAGTGCTACTGTGGACTGAGTAGGCAATTGAGAATTAAAGTCCTCCCTCGTCGTACAAAGATCACACTCTGTAAGTCACTCATCATGCCTGTGCTGATGTATGGCGCGGAGGCATGAACAATGAAAACATCTGATCAAGTGGCTCTTGGAGTTTTCGAGAGAAAGATGATTTAAAGATGAGATGTATGAGCTTTACAACGATATAGACATAGTGCAGCGAATTAAAATTCAACGGCTCCGCTGTCTGTTATTCCAATGGACAGAAACGCTCCTGCTCAGAAGAGAAATGACTGGCGTGCTGTTTCCGACTCGGCCAAAATCGCATAGGCGTTTATAGCGCCAATAAAAAAGAAGATCGAAGTAGAACATCTTGTGAAATGAAATTTTTTATTGGCTTTAAAAGGTATTTCGACAGTTTTTTTTTTAATAAAGGTTCAAGTTTAAGGTTTTTACTGATGTCCTGTATTAAATTTGTGACTGAACTAGAATCCGTATGGAGAATTTATAGACAGTAGTTAATTTGTAAAAATATTAATTTTTTTTTGTTTAATCTTGCTCCCTTGGTAGAATTGAAAACATTTGACAACGCATGACACAAATTTGAGTTTAATATATGTATTGACGCTGTCTTCATGCTTTTTAATGAATCCTATTATAAGCCCAACTAACTCTTACAACTATTTAAAAACAAATATTTTCAAAAGGTGTATTTTGCTATCAGTAAGTGGGAACAGAGAAACTTGTTATAAATTTTAAAGGAATAACGGTACGTTTGGGCGAGAAATACTCCCTCAGTCAAACGCAAACTTTTTTCTTAGAATATCAGTAAATAAAGAGTAGTAAGCCTTCTAAGCTAAATCAGCTGCAGTTGCATATTCACGAAAACCGATTGAAATAGAGCATCTTGGGAAACGAAGTTTAGCCCTATTTTCTGGCTATGAAGAGTTACAAGATATCATTAATAAAATAAAAGATGATTAATTAAAACAATACTCTTCGTTCTATGTGCCTGCAACGTTGCACAAAATTTTCTTTCATAGGCATGAGGTGGTAAAATACGTGCTTTTGCCACTGTCAGAGGAGGCTCAAGAAGCTACAAATAAGGTTTTCACAAGATATTGGCTACACAGTGCTAGAAAGTGTTCGCCTGTAGCTACTAACGAAGATCTTTTATCAAAGCTATTGATTACTTCCATTCTCTCATAAATAGTTTCGGAAATGTATCTGAAAAGCTTTCCAATATTTCCTGAGGAAGTACTGAAATTACTCATTGCACCACGAATTATAAATAGCATAAATTTAAAAAATTAAGATAGCATAAATTTAAATGATGAAGAAGGTTATGCAGATTCAGAAAGTGAAGAGGACAGTGGGTACTACTTATTTTCGAATACTTAGAGTGAACCTTACGTGCACAGTTTTCTAAATTTTTCGAAATACATATATATGAATTAAAACCGCTACTTTTCAAACTAAACTTTTTTTTTATTTATTAGATTGTTAATGAAACAAAAAGTTTTGAAAAGTTGTACTCTTTTCTTAATTTGAAAACCAGAAAAAATTTGTTTCTTTTAGCCATAAGATATTTGAAAATAATTAGCGTTATTCACCAAAGTGAGCAAGTGGCCTGGCAGTCTGGCAAAAGAGCAGAACCGTTGGCAACAGTCGTTGCTTGAGCTCATCTACCCCTTAGCCAGAGAGCCACTTGCTCGCTTTGGTGAATACCACTTATATGTAATAAAAATATCCCGTATTCATAGCTCAAAGAAGTACAGGTAAGGTTGGGTTAGGTAAAAGTGATTGACCCAGCCAAGGGACATACTTGGACAATTAAGAGATTTTCCTTTGTAATACCACGAAAAAACTGAACGGATACCCGTAATTTAGTCGGCGGAACGCCGGGAGCCGATTGCCTAATTTCGAATGCGGCTAATTTCGATCCCTGCGAGTTCAGTGTTAGTTAAGAAGTGGCAGCCAAAATGCTTCCATCTTAGCCTCGCGAAGTTTGGAAGATCTAAAATAAAGTGTGGAGATGACTCCACCTCATCTTCCTCTTGGCTGCTGATACAAAGGGGACCAGTTGAAATTCCTAAGACTGGTTTTCACTATGTAAAACTCAATGGTATTTGTCGTCAAATAAGTAAAAACTCATTATCAAATGGAACTAAAAAACGGTTTATCGATTGATTTAGATCAGAATAGGTCTTCAGTCGTGTACATGTGCTGTTAACTTGGCTATCTGTCCGTGTTTGACCCATAATATAAACGGTAAAGGTATGGAAAAGGAGATACTTCTATGCCAAAATATGTTGACAAAATTTGTGGTCAATATATGACATAGTGAAAACCAGCCTCTAGTCTTACCGCATGAATACCAATCGCACAAGGCCCTGACAGAACCCATATCCGTTGTGAGTAACGTGTCTTTCGGCACCTTTGACGGGTAAAGATGGGTCACTATGTCTTGCGCTGAAAAAAGTACTTTATAATGCCGTATAAAACATTTTCTGCAGCAGGGAAACGTCTTCTCTTAATTTTTTATGTCACAAAAAGGTGAATCGCTTTCTTTTATTCATTTTATTAGGTATTTAGTAGAGTATGCAATTTCATCATCGGGATTACGAAGTAGCGCTCACCGAGCTAACACTATCATCCAAGAGTGTACCGCAGGAGGACAGAGACGTCCCTAGTTGCTCCTTATCTGGGGATAACGTTTTAAGGGTGCCTTTTCTCGCAATTTCCCGCGTTATTACTGTGACCCGGCACCTAAACTAGCTTTATTAAGAAGTACTCCGACGCGATTGATAGAGTTAGTTTTGGTGAAGAGTTTCCGACAGAAGTCAGCTTCACCAACCCTGTCAGCAAGTTCTGATCTGTGTGTGAAGAAGTTTACCGCTCCCTTCCTCGAGTAACCACGCCCTACCCAGTCCTCTCTCTTGAGGAGCTTCTAGGAGCCATTTCGGAGGCGCTATAATTTATTTATTTGTTTAGGGCAAAGTTAGAGCCCTCGAGAACTCCACAGTGTTACCACCCGGTTTCCCTGAGCTTAATAAGAGTTCCCGCTGCGATGGTGTAGGTGTGGTTTCTAATACTCCACTAATTCCGATTAGGGCGATCAGCTGTCAACTCTCCAGGTGTTTTACAAGTGTATCCTTCTCTAGTGGGTTCCACCAGACAATGGTTGGGCGAAACAAGATAGGCTTAAATCTGGTTTCATAGAGCTAATGAATTGCTTTGGACAAGAGACCTCACCGATAGCTCCCCTACAGCAGCACAAGGCAACCGACGCCTTTCTTACTCTTTCCTCAATGTTAGGCTTCCAAACACTGAAGAGAAGGGCCACAACGGGTACCTTGGTACTTCCTGGTGAAAAATACCAGTTCCGTCTTGCTGGAATTTACTGCGAGGGCGCCGCTGATCGCCAACCTAGTTACCTGGTTCAGGTAATCTTGAGGCAGATCAAAAAGAGGGTCCAGAAATAGTCCCTTAACAAAAAGTTCCACATCATCATTCCAGTTCCTCCAGAAGTTTGTTTATAACCGCAGTCCAGAGCAGAGGAGAGAGAAACACCTTGTGGAGTGTCTCCCACTCCGCTGCGACAGTTCTGTCGCGAAGTAAGCTGTAGATAAGCCTCATTAGTAGGGTGGGTCGATTTTGTAAGGGAGAAATAAAAGGCATTTGATCTTACAGTAATAGTCATATTATGTTGTCTTAGGACTAAGCCAATAATAATTGACCACAAAAGATTAATTTAAAACATATCTTTGGCTGCCGACATACATAGGTCGATCTTCCAATGGATACACTGTTCACGGAGACGTTTTTTATTTGAAAAACCGGGAACGGGAAAAAGCTAATGCTTCCTTCCAGAAATTTGACATCTTTTCTTTGCTACTATTTTACCTATTTCGGGAGAAAATTTGTTTGCGGAGATTACTTTTAAAACCGATCCAAGGTGATCGTTAGTAATTGTAGATTTGGCAGCAGATTTATTTCCTTTCATAATTGAGAATAGTTGCACACACCGATAGGTACTTCCAAACATGGAAATAATTTCATAAGCCAATTTTCGGGTATTTGCAAGTCGAGCAGGTAACCATTTGAAAAAATCTGGCATGCCAACTTCACTAAATATAGTCTTCAGACCTTAATCGCACTGTATCTCTATTATTTCCATTTGCATCGCGTCCTATTTACTAAATCCATACAACTACATATGACACATATGTACATATGTATGTTGAATAAGTTACCGAGCGCTGCCTGATCCCTTACAGTTGTGTGTGTATAAATCACCAAAACGCTGCTCGAGGTTAAATCTAAATTTAACGATAACTTTACATGGCCCTAAAAATTTCAAGAGTCGTAATTTATCTATGGGTCATTCCATACAATATTTACACCTCAATATTTTTTTGGGGTGAATATATTTTTTACATTCTTTATCGAAAAAAAGAAGATAGGTATTTTTTTATTTCGTCATGATATTCGAAAATTTCGAAAAAAAATTCCCGAAATTTTGAAGTCACGGATAAGTATCTTTTTTTTAATTGTTTGCTGTTAATAAACTATTTGTCGGAGAAAATCAGTTAAGGTATCAAAATGTTGAGGTGTAAATATTGTATGGACCAATATGCACTTATCAAATCAAATTTTTTTTGCAAATTTATTGATAGTAATAATATCTTGAGTTATTTGTACATACTTTTTGGCACGGGCCTAGGGTGGCCAGATATTTCAGTGGCATAATCAGTACAGTCGGGATCAAAAATCAGTACAAATCCATAAAAATCAGTTCATTTTTGAGCGCCTTTTTTCGTTTAATAACAGTATAACAATCAAATAACAGCGCATTAATTTAACAAAAGATAACTAATAGACGTTTAAATACATATAATATTATCATTATATAACAGCTCATTAGTTTAAAACAAAACAAAGGTATTACGTATGTATGTTCAGTTGTGTTCACTAAAATAGTAGTAAAATGTATTGACAAGTTTTGAAAATATTTTCTTTCCTTACTTAATTTAAATTTTTTATAGAACGAGCACACCTTATAGTTAAACATTCTAAAAATAGAATTAACAAAAAACCAAAAACCACATGATCAAGTGGGAATAGCAGCGGAATAGCCGCGTTGGCTCACATGAAATAAATAAAATAAAAAAAATCTTCCTGCGTAGGCGGTCTTCGGCCGCGCTTAGGGATTATAACCCTTACGAAGTAGAACTCTCCTTTCTGCGTTGCCGGAAAAGAGGGGCGGAATTATTTTTGCGCAGAACTTCTTTCTGCGTAGGCGGCCTTCGGCCACGGTTAGGGATTGTAACCCTTACTATGTAAAATTCTGAAAAAGAAGTTCTGCACAAAAATACTTCCGCCCTCTTTTCTGGCAACACAGAAAGGAGAATGCTACCTAGTAAGGGTTATAATCCCTAAGCGCGGCCGAAGACCGCCTATGCAGAAAGGACTTCTGCACAAAAATACTTCCACTCTCCTTTTCTCGTAACATAGAAAGGAGAATTCTACTTAGTAAGGGTTATAATCCCTAAGCGGTGCCGAAGGCCGCCTACGCAGACAGAAGTTCGTTTTCATGTATGCACTATTTCGGTTTTTGTCATATGCATTATTTCGGTTTTGAGCCGAAATTGTACATGTATGTATATCATATGCGTTGCATATTTCGGTTTTGAGCCGAAACTGTGCATGTATGCATTACTTCGGTTTTGAGTCGAAACTGTGTATGTATGCATTACATCGGTTTTCTCATATGCATTATTTCGGTTCTCGAACGAAAGTGTGCATATGCATAATTTCGATTTCTCTGATATGCCTTATTGCGTGCTTCAACCGAAACTGTGCATATGTAAAGATATGCATTATTTTGATTTTTTTCGTATGCACTATTTCGAATGCACAGTTTCCATATGCGCAATTTCAGGGTGCCTTGCTATATTTATAGTATAAATGGTGGTCTGGACAAATGCACAACATTGCAAGTTGACAAAAGCGTTGTAAAAAGTGGAAAAACAACAACAGTTTATAAGATGCGGAGGCATGGACATGGAAAACATCTGATGAAGCGGCTCTTGGAGCTTTCGAGAGAAAGATGATTTAAAGATGAGATGTATGAGCTTTACAACGATATAGACATAGTGCAGCGAATTAAAATTCAACGGCTCCGCTGTCTTGGCGATGTCGTTTTAATGGACAGAAGCGCTCCTGCTCAGAAGAGAAATGACTGGCGTGCTGTTTTGGACTCGGCCAAAATCGCATAGGCGGTTATAGCGACAGTTTTTTTTCGAATAAAGATGGAAGTTTAGGGTTTTTACTGATGTCCTGTATTCAATTTGTGACTGATCTAGAATCCGTATGGAGAATTTATAGACAGTAGTTTATTTGTAAAAATATTTAATTTTTTTTTTGTTTAATCTTGCTCCTTTGATGGAGTTGAAAACATTTGACAACGCATGACACAAATCTGAGTTTAATATATGTATTGACGCTGTCTTCATGCTTTTTAATGAATCCTATTATAAGCCGAACTAACTCTTACAACTATTTAAAAACAAATATTTTTAAAAGGTGTGTTTTGCTATCAATAAGTGGGAGCTAAACAAAGAATGCTTCAAAGTGAACAGAGAAACTTGTTATAAATTTCAAAGGAATACTCCCTCAGTCAAATGCAATTTTTTTTTCTTAGAATATCAGTAAATAAATAGTAGTAAGCCTTGAAAGCTAAATCAGCTGCAGTTGCGTATTCACGAAAACAGATTGAAATAGAGCAGGGGAGGACAAGATCGAGGCCGAAAAGAGCCACATGTAAATTCTAAATGCTACAAAGAGCCACAAAAAAAAAAACAAAAAAAAATGTATTTTTAAATAAAATTATTATTAGAAATTAAAACCATTAATTTTATCACTGTTATTTATAGATATTAAAGAAAATTCAAAAGATCCCTTTGGCCAAATTTTAAAAATCTGGTTTTACGTCAGTTAAAAGCGTACGTAACCGTTCTGTTAAATGTTGCTTGGTCAAAAGGTACGTTCGTTTAAACAACAACAAAATTCCGGCGAAATGTCATCTGCTCTCTCACAAGAAAAAAATATCCAAAATAGTAGGCGAACATAAAATTTGCATAAACTTGCAAGTTAGGTGAACAGCTTATCCAAATTTTGTTTACATTCAAAAGCATAAAATTGAAAACGTAAGAAAAAAAATCCCGAAGTCTTATCCTGACACAGTTTACTGACTAAACGAATAATTACTTACTTCCTACAAGTTTAATTAATCGCATTTTACTATTTTAACTTCCAAACCATCAAAGTCAATTTAGGGATTTGCGTAAATTCCAACCAGCTGTTTTTGCCAGCTGTTTTCTTGTTGGCAAAAATTTTTCCAGCAGAAACTAGCAGCTTTTCCTTAAAATTAAATATCATTTTGCTCTCTCAATTTCCTCTTCTTTGCAAGTTTTTTGCGAACACAAAAAGCTGATAGTTTTTATAACTTTCCACAACTATCAGGTACGCGAATGCAACTAATTGTGAACGGTATTTTGACTTTACGAATTTCATTGTAGAGTACAAAGACTCACTCAAAAATTGAAAATATACGGGACGCAGCTGTTTTCCACAGCGGATATTTTAAATCTGGTACTTGTTACCGGAATTCAAGCAATAGCAAAGCTTTATGTTGCATTTCCAGTGCATTATCTTCCTTTAATTCCAAAAACTCCAACTCTTCTTCGCTTTTCTTAAAAGGAGTATTGCAAATCCATCCTCAATTAATAATAATAATAATAGACTGGCGCTTACACATATGCTAGTGTTTGGTCTCCTCCGACTTATGGCGTGCGCCTTGATATTGTCACACAAAGCGGAGGGACCTACAGTTTTACGCCGACTCCGAACGGCGATTGTATTTTTATGAGAAGCTGTTTTTCATGGCAGAAATACACTCGGAGGTTTGCCATTGCCTGCCGAGGGGCGACCGCTGTTAAGAAAAAACCTTTTTTCAAAATTTTTTTTTGCGATTTTGCTTCGACCAATTATGTTACATAAAAAAGTGTTTATCAAGTATGCAAACGTACATTTAAATAGTTTCAAATCGGCAAATCTTTTTTCAAAATCTGCATTAAATCATGTGCAATATTTTTTCTAGCCATGGAAAATGTTGGAATAATATTTTTTTTTTTTAGATCACAAATAAAAAGACGTAGTTTAGCTTCCAGCAAATAAATATGTATTTTAAAAAGTAAAAAGAGATAAAATGTTCTAAGCAAAAAAAAAAAAGAGCCGCGATTGCCCACCGTTGAAATAGAGCATCTTGTGAAACTAAGTTTAGCCCTATTTTCTGGCTATGAAGAGTTACAAGCAGTGTTGCCGCGAATAATTTTTAGTGGTAGCCAAATTTCTTTTTAAAAAGGGCTAAAAAGAATAAAAAAAGTGTGGCTAAAAATGTTAACTAAATTTTTTTACTTAAATATACATAGTGTACACGCAAACAATTTTTATATAAGTAATGGTATAGAAAAACAATGAACTCTGGAAAAAAACTAATATTTTATCCAACCAAAAACCTTTTTGTGTAAAAGGGGAAATAGATAAGTTGTCAATATAACAGCAATAGATAAGCTAACGGCCTTAAACTTTTATAGTACGTATGCATAAAAACGTAAGGAACATACAATACATATATGTATATATATCAGTATTTCTTAGTTTAAAAACTCACTTCTTACATAAATGAAAAAAATTAGATCACATTAAACATATACAACTTTTTAATGCCAAGGATGAATAAATTCTCGAAAGGGCTAAAAAAGGGCTAGGGGCAATTTTAAATTTATGTGGCCAAAAAAAGTATGTGGGAGCTAAGTTTAGCCACCAAAGGGCTGAAACGGCAACAAGGAATCATTAATAAAATAAAAGATGATTATTTAAAACAATACTCTTCGTTCTATGTGTCTGCAACGTTGCACAAAATTTTCTTTCATAGGCATGAGGTGGTAAAATACGTGCTTTTGCCTCTGTCTGAGGAAGCTCAAGAAGCTTCAAATAAGGTTTTCACAAGATATTGGCTACACAGTGCTAAAAAGTGTTCGCCTGTAGCTACCAACGAAGGTATTTTATCAAAGCTATTGATTACGTCACATTCTCTCATAAATAGTTTGGGAAATGTATCTAAAAAGCTTTCCAATATTTCCCGAGGAAGTACTCAAATTACTCATTGCGCCACGAATTATAAATAGCATAAATTTAAAAAATTAAGATAGCATAAATTTAAATGATGAAGAAGGTTATGCAGATTCAGAAAGTGAAGAGGACAGTGGGTACTACTTATTTTCGAATACTTAGAGTGAACCTTACGAAATACATAAGTATGAATTGAAACCGCTACTTTTCAAACTAAACTTTTTATTTTTTTTATTTTTTAGATAAAGTGTTAATGAAACAAAAAGTTTTGAAAAGTTTTACTCTTTTCTTAATTTGAAAACCAGAAAAAATGTGTTTCTTTTACGCATAAGATATTTGAAAATAATTAGTGTTATTCACCAAAGTGAGCAAGTGGCCTGGCAGTCTGGCAAAAGAGCAGAACCGTTGGCAACAGTCGTTGCTTGAGCTCATCTAGGCTTTTGCCAGAGTCCCGTATTCATAGCTCAATGAAGTATAGGTAAGGTTAGGTTAGGTAAAAGTGGTTGCCCCAGGCAAGGGACTTAGGCCGAGTTCCAAAACGTCAGTTGCAAAGCAACTATACAAAGTCACGCATTCCTGAATGCAAATGTGTAATTTTTGACGATGTGGCATGTCCCAAAATGTATTGTAAAAGTTGTCGATTCGTATACAGAAAGCAAACTGCGAATCGCTAAGCTAATTAATACTTTGATGACATTTCGAAGTAAACAATGGCCGATGTCGAAGGGTAAGATTACATTTTTCTATCTTAATTTATTGCTATATTGAATATTTAAATTATGCAATGTATATGGTTGCAATATGTCTCATATACAAACAGTTTGAATACCGCAGTATAACAGTTTCCAAACATTGTATTGATACGTTTTGGAAGTAAGCTATACTTGGACAATTAAGAGATTTTCCTTTGTAATACCACGAAAATACTGAATGGAGACCCTTAATTTAGTCGGCGAAACGCCTCGAGCCGATTACCTAATTTCGATTGCGGCTAATTTCGATCAATGCGTGTTCAGTGTTAGTTAAGAAGTGGGAGCTAAAATGCTTCCATATTAGCCTCGCGAAGTTTGGAATATCTAAAAGAAAGTGTGGAGATAATTCCACCTCATCTTCCTCTTGACAGCTGATAGAAAGGGGGCCAGTTGAAATTCCTAAGACTGGTTTTACTATGGCGAATTCAATGGTATTTGTCGCCAAATAAGTAGAAACTCAAATGGACAATGATTTATCGATTGATGTAGATCAGAATAGGTCTTCAGTCGTGTACATGTGCTGTTAACTTGGCTATCTGACTGTGTTTGACCCATAAAATAATCGGTAAAGGTATGGAAAAGGAGATAAATCTGTGGCAAAATATGTTGTCAATATATGACATAGTGAAAACCAGCCTCTAGTCTTACCGCGTGAATACCAATCGCACAAGGCCATGTGAGAACCCATATCACTAACCGTTGTGAGTAACGTGTTTTTCGGCACCTTTGGGGGGTAAAGATTAGTCACTATGTCTTGCGCTGAGAAAAGTATTTTAAAATGCCCTATAAAACACTTTCTTCAGCAGAAACGTCTTCTCTTAATATTTAAGGCACAAAAAGGTGAATCGCTTTCTTTTGTTCATTTTATTAGGTATTTAGTAGAGTATGTAATTTCATTATCGCGGGGTGCCACAAGCGTATGCCTGGGGTGCCGCTAGTGGCTAGAGTATACTAGTGGTGCGGGCAAATTCTTTAAACTTTCCATACACAACGTAACGGTTTGATTAAACTTCAACATGGCGGCCAGAAAATCAAAAAATTTAGATTTTTATTAAAATTACCTTTAGCAGCTCATTTCGCTCTTAAGCATAGTTCCCCAGTACGTTTTGTCAACGAAAAATTGAATCAGAAAAGTTTCAGTAAAATTGCTGAAAACGTACCCTTTTCACAACCATTTTCGGATTTTTTGCTGGCTGGGCTGTTGTCGTGATAAGCGCAGCAGCTTCGCGCACGTGTATATGTTACTTATTCTTTGGAACATGACAATCGCACTGTGAAAGAGCGAATTAACACGATTTTAGAGGCAGTCGAGAACAAACTTATAAAAGTTTGAAAACTTGTGAATTTTTTTGTTTGCAACTTGCCGAAAGTACCGACGTAGTGAGATTTAATGTTCTTCCGGTGTTAGTGAGGTACCCATTCGGAATGCAAATTGAAGAAGAACTTTTGATGAGCGAAGTACTTGAGACTTACACCACTAGTGACGAAATTTTTAAAGCTGTCGACAAATTTGTAAAGAAAAATGGTTGGAAATGAAGCAAGTGTCCGGTTTTTTGCAGTGGTTGGAAAAATGAAAGGAGCGATGTCTAGGATGAAGCAAGAGGCAGAAAACGCCGCGAGAAGTCACTGTATGATCCGTCGGTATTCCTTGGCGACTAGGAAGATGCCGCCACAAGATTTAAAACCCGTACTGGATGACGCTGCGAAGATAACAGAGGCCTGCGAAATTAAAATACATTTTTGGTTTTTTTCTAGCACGTAGAGATTTTTTTATAGGTGACATGTATATTTTAGAATTTCTGCAATTTGCATGAAAACCCCATAAGTAATCAAAGTAAATCAGAAAAACGTATGTAACTTCGAAGTTAACGCCAAGAAAATTGATAACAGCCGGTTTCACCAGCAATTTAAATGGAAAATGGTTTTTTATTTTCTGTCAATTTCCATACAAAATTCCAAAAATTAAAATCATTTTTCACTTAAATTGCTTTCGTGCTGTAAAAGTTATTTTCTTAGCTTTACCGCTCATTATCAGCGAAAACTTAAAACGTTAACAAAACACCTCTTCTTCTTCTTTATTGGCGTTGTAACCGCCTAAGCGATTTGGCCGAGTCCACGCCAGTCATTTCTCTTCTGTGCTAACTGACGCCAATTGGAAATGCCAAGTGAAGCCAAGTTTTCAAGAGGCCCTCCTCTTCCTCTGTTACCAGCATAGCTGCCCGTGTTGAACATTTTCACAGCAGGAGCGTTTCTGTCCATTTGAACGACATGGCCAAGCCAGCGGAGCCGCTGAATTTTAATTCGCTGCACTATGTCTATATCATTGTAAAGCTCATACAGCTCATCGTTAAATCATCTGCGATATTCGCCATCACCAAAACGTAAAGGCCCGTAAATCTTTCGCAGAATCTNCGTAAAGGTCCGTAAATCTTTCGCAGAATCTTTCTCTCGAAAACTCCAAGATCCGCCTCATCATCATTGTCCATGCATCCGCGCCATACACCAGCACAGGTATGATGAGTGACTTATAGGGTCTGATCTTTGTACGACAAGAGAGGACTTTACTTCTCAATTTCCTACTCAGCCCAAAGTAGCACTTGTTGGCAAGAGTGATTCTCAGTTGGATTTCAAGGCTGACATTATTATTGGTGTTAATGCTGGTTCCCAAATAAACAAAGTAGTCTACTTTTTCAAACTTATAACTGTCAACCGTCACGTGGGTGCCAAGAGGCGTATGCTCTGTCTGTTTGTGTGATGATAGGAGATACTTCGTTTTGTCCTCGCTCACCACCAGACCCATTCTCTTTCCTTCTCTATCCAATCCCGAGAAGGCAGAACAGACGTAGTCCTTGTTTTTACCGATAACATCGATGTCGTCGGCATACGCCTGCAATTGTACGCTCTTGTAAAGTATTATGCCTGAGAGGTTCAATTCTGCGGCTCTTATTATCTTCTCCAACATCAGATTAAAGAAATCATACGAAAGGGAGTCCCCTTGTCTGAAACCTCGTTTGGTATCAAACGGCAAGGCTGATTCCGCGGTAGTTGGCGCGAATGGCGGGTCGCCTTTCTTGTGGATTGGGCAGAGCACAATTAAATTCCAGTCGTCAGGCATGTGTTCATCTGACCATATTCTGCATACGAGCTGATGCAAGCACCTCATCAGCTCCTCGCCGCCGTACTTTAATAGCTCGGCTGGCAGGTCGTCAGCTCCAGCAGCTTTGTTGTTTGTCAGCCGGGTAATCGCGGACATCGGTCACTAGGTCGCCCCGATCTTGAAACCTTCCGCCAGTCGCCTACCCCTCTGGTAGAATTTTCTAGCGTTCTTCCTGTCAGCCAGCATCTCAAGCTCTTCGCACTCACATATTTCGGCCTCCCTCTTCTTATTGCGGCAAATACGTCTCGCTTCCTTCTTCAGCTCCTTATAACGGTCCCACATGGCTCGCGTTGCGCCCGATCGCAGCGTGGCCCTATAGGCGGCGTCTTTTTTCTTTGCGGCTTCTTAACATTCGTCATCGTATCAGTTGTTCTTTCGGGCTCGCTGAAATCCAACTACTTCTTCGGCGGCGGTACTTAATGATCGGGAAATGTGGTTCCACTGCTCGCGTATGTCTGATTGATGAAGAGTGCTCTCAGATGGCAGGTATGTGAGTCGAGTGGCGAATAAATTGGCCATCTGTTGTGATTGCAGCTTTTCGGCGTTAAGCTTTCCTTGCATTGCTGGGCGCACACTTTTTGTTGCACAGAGGTGGGTGCGTAGCTTGGCTACAATAAGATAGTGGTCCGAGTCGATGTTTGGCCCTCAGAGTGTATGTACGTCTAAAACGCTGGAAGCATGCCTTTCGTCTAACACAACATGATCGATTTGGTTTCTCGTTTTTCGATCTAGTAATCTAGTACTATATGTTACCATGTTTGGGGCTCCGGCGAAGTCGATCAGCCTCAGTCCGTTATCGTCGACGAGGCTGAATTTTTCGACAGTTGCGCCTTACTTGGCCACCTTGGCATTAAAATCGCCGAGCACGATTTTGACATTGTGTCTGGGGCAGCGCTCATATGTTCGTTCCAAGCGCTTATAGAAAAGATCCTTTGACGCCTCGTCCTTCTCTTCCATCGGGGTATGGGCCCAGATGACCGAGATGTTGCAGAATCTAGCTTTTATGCGGATTGTTCCGGGGTGAATGCCAGTACTCGGCGACGGAGTCTCTCTCCTACCACGAATCCAACACCAAATTTCCGCTCCTTTACGTGGCAACTGTTGCAGACGTCGCACTTACTTTTCCTTGCCCCGTCCATCGCAGTTCTTGGATGCCGGCGATGTCAGCCTTTGTCTTCCCGAGGACATCAACCAGCCGGGCAGAGGCACTTTCCCCATTAAGGGCCCGGATATTCCAGGTGCTCAAATCATAGTCCTTTATACGTTTGCCGTGGCCATCATCAAAAAAGGGGGTCTCCTCCGAGGCTTGTTGGAATTTTTCATTGGGCGGTGTTTTAGCGTGGTGGGACCCAAACCCAGCACACGCGAAGTTTTACGCCTCTCACTTTAGCTCGCTCCCAAACGGGTGTTTGGTTAATTCCCAGAGGATACGTGGATATAAATATCCGGACGTGTGAGCTGCGATTTGAACCGTACGCAAAAGAATCGCTTCTGGCCACTCCCAGGTGAATACGAATTGTCGAATATTTTCCCAACATTGACTCTGAGGATGTCTACAGCTGGATAACAAACCCGTTTCAATGTGAACCGCAAAGTAAACCTACTGGGATGACCAACCAACTGGCTGAGTCAGTGGGATCGTCGGTTCGAAGCCTACTGAAAGAAGTCTGATGAGGAAATGTGGTGATTTCCGAAATAGCTATCACTTCTACCATTTTTTCAAATTATTGTTGCTTTTCCACAATAAATTTTCATTAAAAAAAACGGCCTCGAGCTCAATAAAAATTGTTGAATATAATTGTTATAAGGCCAAAAAATAACAAAAACAAATAACTTAAGGACGAGCACACCTAAAAGTTAAACATTCTAAAAAGAGAATTATTAGCAAAAACCAACAATACCAACAACCACATGATTAAGCAGCGGGAAAGCAGGATTATTGCAGCGGAAAGCTGCGCTTGATTGTGTTGGCATAACAAAAATGAAAATAGTGGAAAAAAGCAAACGATAATTTACAAGGCGTACTTAGCACGGTGCATAGGCAACTGGCTGAGTCAGTGGGATCGTCGGTTCGAAGCCTACTGAAAGAAGTCTGATGAGGAAATGTGGTGATTTCCGAAATAGCTATCACTTCTACCATTTTTTCAAATTATTGTTGCTTTTCCACAATAAATTTTCATTAAAAAAACCGCCTCGAGCTCAATAAAAATTGTTGAATAAACAAATAATTTTTATGCAAAAAACAAAACCGACTTCAATTCTCAAAAACAAATTTAAGATTATCGGTTATCTCTTCATGATGCAATGATCGGATTTAAACCAAATTAGAATGGGACCGCCTGTGAGATAACACCTTTCCTCTAAAAAAAGAGTTATAGTAATCGGTTTACGTGGTATAAAGTTATGCGGTAACATACATAAAAAAATAAATATTAATAAAAAAATATTTCGACGAATTGATAACCTTCTCCTTTTTGTGAAGTCAGCGTCAAATGATTTCAGGGTAAAATTGTCAAAGCTCCAAATTAAACTTAAAGGAAATAATGAAATCATCAAAACAATTTCAGTCCTCACATTAATGCTAAAGGAGCATAAAGTTTGCATTGTGTTTTCTTGTTTTGGTAAACATTTGAAGAGTAGGGGTGACGCGAACTTTTTTTTAGCACAACACGGGTGCCGCGGTGAATAAAGTTTGGGAACCCGTTCCTTAATACATACGTACGTACATATCCACACCTAGATCTAAAGAACGATTAAGTAAAAAAAAAAATTGGGCGCTTTTTTTGCATAAATCAATTTATAGGGCTTACATCCAATGGAAATAATTTTTTCTTCATGATTATATACATAAACTAAAAAACTACTGTTGTACCTGTTTTTGGATTAATTGCGTTGAATCTTTACAATCCACAAGCAGTTAAATTTTGAGTTAGCTCACTTTACATCTAGTTGTGCGATATGCGCATACATATATGTATTTTTAATACATATTTACAATGTTTTACAAGCATTTTATTTCTTATTTTTAATAAAGATATTGTTCATGCCTTAACCAAAACCATATAAATCCAACTTTCAATGTTTATACAAAATTAAAAAAATAGTAGAATTTCCAAAATGTTTTAGCCTGTTAAATTTTCGTAAATTTTTAATATATGTTTTTTTTTTTGCTGCTTTCGCATTTTCTTCCACCACAATTGTTTATATGTAAAAAAACTTGCACTAACATGTTATAAACTGAATACGGATAAAGAAGTTCAAGATTTGTTGAATTTTTCTAATGTTGTACATATAAAGTTTGAAAGTTTGATTTGTATGTTTTTGGCCAATGCATGAATAGTATTGTTACAAAAAAATAAAAAATAAAAATTTAGCTTGGAAAACATTGTAAGTTTAAAAACCACAATACATCAAGTTTTAAGCGCCAGGGTATATACGGAAGTCCATAATTCCATTTTAATTTCATTGTTACAGGCTTACCACTTCTGTGGACTTACCTACAGAGTTTATACATTTGTATATTAGCAACTGCATATCTACATGTGAAACTGTTAAGGACAAATACATGCAATCTCGTCTGGTGCGCCTAGTTTGTGTCTTTTTGCAGTCACTTATAAGAAACAAAATTATTAATGTAAAGGTAAGTAAATTGCTTCTTAAATATTTATCTTCTGTCAAGCTAACTATACACTTCTTAAATTTCAAATAAGTACGAAATTTTCCAAAAAGAACAGCGGATCTGCAAAAGAAGAGGAAACACGTTTTCCGGTCGAAGGCTTGTAATACAGTCAAATTAAGGTTGAAAATAGTTAATCTCACGATTTTTTGCTGTTTAATACACTGCTGTTGTTTGTTACACATAACCCAGGAGCCCCCTAAACTACTGCTCGCGTCGCACACTGGGGCCTAGCGTGCTCAAAATTAAATTTAAAAAAAAAATGGTTTCTTTGGAAAAATAAAAACGCAGGTTCAGGTTTTACCTTTCTATCGTTTTTCGGCTGGGAGATATGCGTGTCCAAACTTGACAAATTTGAAAAAAAAAACTTTTTTTTTTTACCTGAGAAATTCAAATGTGCAATTCAAATTGTTACTGTAAGAAAGCGGTATTATATTTCGTTACTTTGTTTTTTAAATGAAGTTTATGTATTTATTGGTGTATTTTGTGTATGATTAAAAAAAAACTATACTGACCTCTGTTTTTTGCCATCACTTTTTTCAAAATCACTTTTTCTTAAATGCGCAAAGCGCTTTTAAATTTGACAGTGCTGCAATAAAGTATGTTCCTTCCTTACTAAGAATCCGGGTTCAAAACCAAAAGCACTTTGCGCATTTTTAAATAAATTGGTTTTAAAGATTTCACTTAGATTTTAATTAAACACAAAAACATATACTTCTGGTTAAGGCTGATTCTGTTTCAATTCGAACTTTAACTCTTTATTATTTTTAGGTTGTTCAATGAATAAAAAGCGGATTTGGTTCTAACAAGGACTGTAAACTCTTTAGTGAGAAGCGGATTTAGTTCGAACAAGGATTTTAAAAACTTTAGAGAGATCAATAGTAGGAAAACGAGTCCCGCTGAATTTAGGAGACGTTTTTAATAGATTGCTAGTTTCATTAGATCCTCTGATTTCTTGCTCGCACTTGCTGTCAGTGGTCACCAACCGGAGATCTTTCTTTGCTGAATCAATGGAGTTAGTATAACTTGAAGGGAATTATATTAGTTTAAAGGGGCTTGGATGGGATTTAGATTCCGACTATGAGGAAGTAGTTTCACGGTTTTCATTATATGGTGCTTATCATATATATATGACAAGTTTTGACTATGTTTTTTTCTTATTTAATTTTAAGTATTTTTTTTTAATATAGTTTATTTCTTAACAAAAATCGAATAAGGCTAAGTTTCAAACTTCGTAAAAATATCGATATTTTTGATTAGATATTTAAAACGATTTTGTGTGCTAGTTTGAAGTAGCTAGGACATACCATTGATTTTTGGCAAGTTTTTTAGTGAAGGTGTCGCTCATTTTCTCTATATAAAAAATTCGTCTAACATACTTCGTATGGAAATACGTAAGTCCTAGCTATTTCAAACTTGCACTTTAATTGGGTTACAAAACTTCATACTCAAAATCCTTTTAATTTTTTTATATAAAGATTTTTGAATTGGTTCGTAAGATATACGTAATTTAAAAAAAAAAAACATTTTTTGCTTTAAGCTGAATAACGGTAAATTGAAAATGTCTCGAAAACCTATCAATAGAAAAAAAAATTAACTCGATTTTCGGAATAACTCAGCGCTTCTACATAGGAATTGGATAGTAGCATTCATAGAACATTTTTTCTGTAAACCAGTGTAATTGGATCATGAAGAAATTAACGATAATCTTAAATTTGTATTTGAGAATTGAAGTCGGTTTTGACTTTTGCTTAAATATTACTTGTTTGCATTTTATTTAATTTTTTTTTTTAATAAAAGTATAGCTGATTTTTTAATTAATTAATGTTTTTATTTAGATACATTACTTGCTTTTCGATATTTTGTATGCTTAATTTGAGAGTATCTTTAAATTTAAAACATAATGGGTCATAAGCGAATCAAAGACGAGACTGAAAATAATTTCGACTTTTTTGACAAATTTTTCTAAAAAAGTGTTGAATTTATTTTTCCTTTCAACTTTACTTTAAACAACTCATTTATCCCATTTTGTTTTACACTGAAAGGTAAATTTTTGTATCTATTATTTCCATCTTTTACTATATAAAAGATCTCTATATAAATAACTTCACCTGTTTCATGCTCTTTCCTAGTGATTACAACAAATACACACTTAGTTACTGTTACTACATTTTATCGCTTTTAACTTAGTTCTAAGTATTGCGAATTCTTTGGTAAAGCTATCATCAAATCGAAAGGACTCGTTCTTCCTGATTATATTGTAACCTAAACTTACCTATTTTTAATAAAATTAGCTGTGGAAATACTCTATAAAAAATTGGCCACTAATGGGTTAAAATATGGTCATCAATGCGTTAAGTCAAAGTCGTAAATGGGTTAAATTATTCATTTGCTCAATAATAAAATCAAATTAACTTAACATAAGATATTATTCGGCCGCTGTGGTGTAGTGGTAAGCAGTGCGCGCTTCCACTTCGCAGCACCTGGGTTCAAGCCCTGCTCAAAGCAACATCGGAAAAAAAATATAGAAAAAAGGTTTTTTCTTAACAGCGGTCGTCCGTCCGCAGGCAATGGCAAACCTCCGAGTGTATTTCTGCCATGAAAAAACAGCTTCTCATAAAAATACAATCGCCGTTCGGAGTCGGCGTAAAACTGTAGGTCCCTCCGCTTTGTGTGCCTATATCAAGACGCACGCCAACAGTCGGAGGAGAAGCTCGGCCAAACACTAACATATGTGTAAGCGCCAATCTATTATTATTAAGATATTAAAAAAAACTGGGTCACCAAAGGGTTAATGCATGATCATTAATGGGTTAAGCGTCAGAAATTTACTCTTAAGAAGTAGTTCAAGCGAGTCTAACGGCTGAGCATGCGGGAATGCTATGATTTTTGCTAACGGGATTTAATTTTGCTTATTCACAAGTACATAGTACATACAGTGTCGGACACACGGTTGCAATGGTAGCAAGCATAAAATTTGCAAATGCAAATCCAACTGTAAATCCAAAACAATTTCCGTAACATCCTGAAGAGCCCTATAGTTTACCAGACTAACAAAAAAAAAACTGAAAAGGACAGTTCATAAAATTGCCGAGTGTCAACTGCCAATTTACCAAAACTACCAAAATGGATGTGAACCCTCTTAGTGTAACATTAGCATTTATTAACTGATAAATAATTTTGACAGAACAAATTACCTCCTACTTTTCTGTCTCTTTCAAATCAGTGTGCAAATTAACGATTTGGTTACAATTCTAGAACAAATTTAATGTAACTAAAAGCACGGTTGTTGAACAAAACTAGATAAATACATGGTTGTGTTTTTGATTACGTGTTCCCGTAACATATTTTTTACATACATACATATATAATTTAGTGGGAAAACTAAAATAAAAAAATCGTCTTTACGGGGGAAAAATCGTCAAAACGTCATTGAGTTAAAAAAAACGTCAAAATGACGACGAAATCGTCAATTCGGCAACGCTGCATCGTGTTGTTTTCGAATTTGTACGTAAATACACCCGTATCAGCTGAAGCTTGCTCAATTTGGAAATTCAGCAAAAAATTTATTTTTATTTATTTATTCCACTGTCTGGAAGCTTGCTTTAAACCAGCGGTCGGCATTCTAACACATTCAAACGATTCAATAAGTGTGCGTTAAATGCAATGCTCAGCTGCCGCTCTTCGTATACATGTGAAACAAGGTTCATAAAATAGAAGGTTGAGATATGGTGCTGTCAAAAATTTGTTTTCCTCCAATGTCGTAGTTGCGAAGTGAGTTCTGATTGGCTGAAATATTTTACGGAGAAGGAGAGTACACAAAACGCAGAAAATATAGTTGCCGTATAGCATATTTTAGGAATCGTAATCAAATGGGCATTTTTGATATAAACTCGTGGTAAAGCTTATTATAACAACATAAAATGTTATAACTTGACGTGAAACTGGATTAACATAATAATATTCGTACAATAGTGACAAATGAAATGTAAATCGAATGCTTATTGAAATTTGCTGGTGATTTTTTTCTTGAAAGTGGGCAGAACGCACTGGCGCATTTTTAAATAAAATGCGTTCATAACGTTGGCAAAATTTCGCTACCGAAATTGCAATTCATCTTTAGACATACGGTAAAACCGAAATTACCCTTTTTAGTGTAATTTTTCCAATCCAAAACAGCGCACTTAAATTTTTAATAATCTAAATAAACTCAAAGACGCAGAAAAAATCACAAACTTCAACGCAAATGGTCAAACGGTAAATATCAGAGTTACATATATTTGAAATAAAACTTGATGTATTTTTGACTAAAATACTATATTTTTATAAGATATTTTTTTAGGAATCTGGCAACTCCAAAAATTGAGCCATCTACGTCATCAAGATGGCGGCCATGGCTGATGTCGTAACCTTGCATTCTATGAACTTTGCATGTGAAACACATGTGCTCAGAGACCGCTCAGGGAGCTATGGCCTGCTGACCACTGCTTTAAACCATGCAAGCTCTTTTGCAGTTTACATACTTTGTCATTTTGTCGATAACCATATGGCTGCTCCATACAGATTTTTTCTTGTATGTGGCCATGTAGGAAAGCTATCTCAACGTCAAATTGAATAATTTGCATGTTTTTCGCCGCTGCTATAGATATTACTGTCCTTACCGACTCATATCGAACAACTGGCGAGAACTCTTCCGTATAATCTACCGCGCGAATTAGTGAACAGCCTCTAACAACTAGCCTAGCTTTATATTTTTTTTATTTTGCCCCTTGAGTCATATTTCCATTTAAAAATCCATCGATTATTCAACACATGCATATCGTCAGTGCGTTCGACGCGTGTCCAAGTTTCATTTTTCTTCACAGCATTTAATTCGTCATTAACTGCTGCTACCCATTTCACACTGCTTCGCTCTCTAGTGCCTCTTCTATACTCGAAGGTTCAAACTCAGTGTTGCCAACTTTTGATTTTCTGAAAGCACCAAAAACTTGGAAAAGGCGTTTTACCAAACTAAAAGCACCAATTTTTTTTTAGTCAAAGGATGCTTTTTTCGTAACAGTTTGTATTTAACAAAAGCAAAAAATTAACAATATTAACAAAAATACATACATAAATCAATACACAAAACGTTTTCGCTCATAACGATTGAATAGCCTCTACACATGCCATGATGACTCATGCTTACGACGTAATACCGAAGTACTATTAAACTAGTATATCTCGAGAAAGCAAAATCGAATCGCAACAAACGAAAATAATGCCCTAAGTAGAAATGAGCAAAAAATTTGATGTTTTCATTATATAACCTCAAATATCGCAAAAAACTGTGTTTTTGGCGATCTGGGGGTAGGATATCTAAAAATTCTAGTACTAGAGCAATTGTGCGGCCAGATTTAGATTCAGCACCAAGAAACTATGTGTTTTACTCAGGTGGTAAAAAATCAAAATTTATACAAACAATTAGAAAAGAAAAAAAAAGAAATACTTAACTTACCTGCGGACTAGCATTTTCAACGTGAATAGAATTCAACAAGGTGGGTTTGCAACTTCAGGCCCCTATTGCGAGTGTCGACTGGCAGTAGAATAGAAATTTGTCGATCGAGTCGATCATCTTTTATTTTGCTATTGTGTAACTTGATCGATAAAAATTTGTACTATTGTGAATGGTCGATAGAATTGTAAACAGCTGTTTGTTTGTTTACATTTGTTTCTTGAGTGTTTTATTTACATCATTTTTAAAATAATTGCTTTTATTATAAAATTAAAAAAATGGACACAGTTGAAATATGGTTTAGTGATGAAGAAGATGATGCCGAAGCTAATAGATTAGTAGAGTTAGCTAAAGCAAGGAGGGAATTGCGAGATTCGTCGGATCCCTTGGACTTGGAAGGTGTATGTACATGTGTGAGTTTTATGAATAGAAGTTGCGTTCCCGATGCTTCACAGTTTTTAGGCTTTACATGATTTGCAGGAAAAGCTGTTTTCCTCATTAATAAACTTTATGGAAGTTTAAGAAATACGGTACGGTTAAGTTTTTTGTACAATGATGTTGGGTTTTTGTGTCCAAACGCGTGACCCGAGTTTAAAAACTTTAACATAACAAGTGTATTGAAAGAATTCAACTTTAATTTAAAATAAAGATTTCAAATTTCCGAGCACTAGTCAATTAATAAATTATGCAGTTTTTTTGTATAAACTTTTGATGTTGGCTCTGCGCAAAAACACTGTGGATGGCGTAGCCGGAGTTATATGCACAAGAAATATTGTATATGTATCTTTTCCAATAGAAGCGGAGCTTCCTACCCTACTCTTTCCGGAAATTCCTTTGCCTATGTCTTCACTCTCCTGCAGCAGTACGAACAACCGCGCAAGTTGCCTTTTGTTGCTTATAATTTTTGATCTGTAATTCAGACACATACATGCATATGTATATTTCACAATTTTTTACAACTTCCAGTTCAATTGACTTACTTTTTATCCATTATAGTACCACTTTCTTATGTAAATTTTATAAACGCAAACTCCAACGACTAAAAAACAGCAATAGAAGGATGAGCGATTAAAAAGTATTCACAGTCGCTAATTGAGCGACTAAGCGACACTCGCAATAGCATCGATAATCGATAATCGCTTAATAGTCGTTTATCTACTGCCAGTCGACATTCGCAATAGGGGTGTCAGCTTTTATCAATCATGGTTGTATTTTAGTGCATTTGAATTTGTATATTCTTGTAAATTCCGCATCTTCATGAGACATCACAGCATATAATATTTCAAATTATTTCAGGTTTTAACTATCTTGGAGTAATATTAGTTCAAAAAAGCACCAGAAAAGGCACTAGGCACTAAGTATTTTTTTGGCGTTTTAATTTTCAAAAAGCACTAAATCTAGTGCTTAAAGCACCAAGTTGGCAACTATGTTCAAACTGCACTGTGTGAACTTCAGCTTCGATTTGTTGCTCACCAGGAGGGTTAGAACCACCGCAAGCCTAAATCGAAGCAAATGAAGTGAAAAAGCGTAGCAGAAAAATAAAATTCCGTAGTATATATTTTTTATGTATATTGGCTCGTCATAATTTGCCTTTTTTAGTTAAAAAAATTAAATAATGTATAACAATAGCTTTTAATCGTGTCCTGCAATTATACTATTTAGCATCTATAAAGGAAATGCAACGTAAAAATGTTCCATATTTCTTATATAACACTCTAAGGTTTTGTTTTTTTTCGTGAACGTAGCTTCATTTTTTTTTTAAATAGGATAATTTCAGGGAGTCCTTGAACAAATGAAGCACCAATGAAAATCAAAAACCAATAATTAAAAAAAATTAGCATTTGAATACCATTTCATTATTACGATTCATGGCCTTATAAATCGCTTTTTTGGAAAAGTTCAGAAGTTAAAATTTATTATATACGTACATTGTAATTGAAAGCAAATCAATCTTTGACCTCTTCAATTTAAAAAATAAAGTGTAGTATTTTTAGCCAAAAATGTATTTGAAGGCCACATAAATTTTAAAAGCTACTTGAAAAAATAGCCCTAAAACCATTTTTTTGAGTTCAGATATTGAAATAAGTGCTCTTTATTATTTGGGAAAGAAATCCGTAGTAGATCGTAGGTAAAGCGGAGTAGCTAGTATATTTGTAATTCTCATCAAAAATCGTAGCAAATCTACTACGATCATAGTGAAGTTCTAACGCTGCTCACCAGCACTCTCCTTTTGCTTAGTTGCACTCCTCGTTTCGTACGCCTCTCTGTAATTTTCGTATTTCTTTTTCTGTTTCCTCGTACAATCATTCGCTGATGGAGATTGCATTTCTTCGTCATTGCTTACTACTGCTTTATCCTCAACCCCACTTTGCACTGATTCACTGTACTCATTGCGTTTTTCTCCCATTTTGTGCGCTGCCCTTTAGATACGAAAACGTATGCATCAGAGCCGAATATTCCTAAATGCTTGACCGATGGTCTCTTACCGAACCATTTTTCATAACGGGTGATGCCATCTAAAACTTCAGTCGCTTATGCCCATAAATACAGAGGCAACTCCCTTTCATGCAGCAGGGCTTTCGTGCATTCAACCACTGTTCGATTTTGCCGTTCTATGAACCCATTCTGTTCTGGTGCTCTAGGTGTACTTACTTCATGCTTGATACTTTGTTGCAATAGAAATTTGCGCACATCATCGTTGCAAAACTCACACCCTGCGTCTGAGCGTAATCCTTTTATTTTATGACCATCCGCTTGCACTTCAGCCACGAAGTTCATCAGCTTTTAAAGCACTTCAGTTTTACTTTTTCTGGAGTGGTCGTCATTTAAAAGCATAAAATGGTTTGCGCCCCCAGTGGCTGGTGCGCTTATTTTCCCACACAGGTCCACATGGAAGGTCTGCCCAGGTAATTTTGCACTATTTGTGCCAGTCTTCAGAAATGATTGACGATGTTGTTTGCCATGAGTGCAACCTTTACAAAATGGTATTTCGCCTGAGGTATCTGCAATTTTTAAGTCTGAAACTATGCTTTTAATACTCATTTCTTGAAGTGTTTTAAAATTTACATGTCCCAAACATTCGTGCCAAGGTTTGATTGCCTCAGAACAAAGTACATTAATACTTGCGTAGTTAGCTGCTATTGGCGTCAAATTTATTTTATATAATCCACTTTCTTTATTGCCCTCGACAACTGCTTTATTTTGCTTCATGAATAACACTCGCCCTGTGCCCTTTTCAAACTTGACCTCCTTCGATTTCGTCGCTTTTGATATTGAAATAAAATCAGGATCAATACGTCACTTATTGTGTATGCAGTTTGGAATCCAACAGAAACGTTTACCTGTAAGTCGCCTTTCCCAACCACTTTCAGTTTGCCTCCATCTCCAACTCGCTCATAGAATACTTTATCCGGTAACTCAGAATAGTTAAAGATTAGCTCCCTCTGGAAAGATATGTGGTCCGTAGCTCCAGAATCGGCGTATAATACATTCAGGTTTTTGCTTTGCGATTCAGTCGATTTGTGCAAAATAAACAAATGTGAATTATCAGCATCAGCTGATTTCGGCCTTTTGACGTTAGGCTCCCTTCGTAGAGCTAATGGATGTCCATTGCGTTCACGCTTGACTTATTGGTCCTTTTGCTTTTTACGACATTCTCTGGCCCAATGACCATCTTTTTGACAGTAGTTGCATTTTCCTTTACGCTTTGTGAAGGTATGGTTGCCTTTAATTGATTTTGCCACGTAGGCTGATTTGTACACCATTGTGCGTGTCATCTACGCGTAAATTGATGAGTGCCTCCTCATTAATTAGATGCTCAGTTAATTTTTCAACCTTTTGCGCATCGTTTGGAACGGCATAGCAGGCAGTGCGAACATGATAATATTTCGCTGGAAGACTACTTAAAATTTTTGCTATTATCATCGGCTCTTTCTGCTCAAGATTAGTTTCTCTTAACGTTCTGCAAGCGACTTTACTGTTGCGATGTATTCGATCATGATCTCCTCTCCTCCCATCTTGCAATTAATAAACTTTTCAAACAGGACTTGGGCTGATTGATCGCTTTTTTCAAAGTAAACAGCTTGAAGTCTAGACCACATTTGCGCTGCCGTTCCGCAGTCGGTCAAATACTTCAATTGGTCTAACTCAATTCCCCTCATTATAAATGCCTGAGACTCGGCATCTTTCTCATCCTATACCAACGCGTTTGACGTAGGTCTGGCTTCAGTGCCCAATATGTGTTTCTTTAATTAGTTTTCCGCCATATAAATTTCCATTTGGCGGCGCCACAGCTGGTAGTTTTGTCCATTGAAGCGGTAAATCGGATACGTCTTGGATTCTGACATGGTTACCTTTGCTTCTGGCTCAGCAATATTTAATGTTGTACCAAGTTCTATAATTTTAATAGATCCACAAAACTCCGCGGTTTCCACAATTGCTGAATCGGCGTTCAACGTGCTATGCGCTTTTTGGGAAATTTCCTCTATACGCGATGTCAGAAGAGCACAAAGTTTTGGCCGTGGCAAACTGGGTCCATAGCCTTTTGCGATTTTTGAATGAATAAAACGCGGATCTTGAAATTCAGTTTTTGTGATCGCTAAATCTTAGAGCCGGAAGTCCATACCCGAGCCAAAAAGGAACAGAAGGCAGGACAGGCGCGAAAAATGAAATTATGTATAAAATGTACACAAGAAACTTGTTATAGTACAACATTGCTGCCATATCAATTTATACGTATACACAACTTAAGAAAGCGATTTCTTCAACAGTACAGTATTTCTTCAATCAGTACGCTTATGTCCTGATTTTTTTAAATTTGCACTGAATTGTGCTGAATTTTCAATTCTGAGCATACAAATTTGTAAAAGGGTTCTTTCCACCGAGCTTGGTACACGGTAACTCGGTAATTGGTAATTTTTCCTCATGTATTTTGTTTGTGTAATAATATTTTACACAAACAAAGTACTTTACGATTTACTTAATGTTTTTACATAACGTTGGAACTTCCTTAAAATTTATTGTAAAAATTAAGACGAAAATAATTTAATTATAGTTGACATATTCAGATAAGGTTTGGTATGCGCAAAAAATTTATACAAAAGAGCAATTGTTTTATGGGCATATCACAGGGTCATTACGTACCAGTTGCGATAATATCATGGAGTATAATTTATTTAAAAAAAGGGCTGACGTTTTTGTCGAGTGTTGTTAGTTATCTCGAAAATAACTTTCAGTTTAATAACAATAAATTTGAATAATTGAATGGCTTTGCCTTCAACTTACAATTCGTTTTTCTAAATTTACTGAGAGTTTTGCATACAAGACATCGAGTTAGATACTCTTTTTGGCAAATCCTTAGTCTTTCAAAGTTTTTGCGCAGTTGAAAAAAAGTAATTTAAGCCATGAGAAAATGCGGATAAAGTCTTTAAATAGTGGTACGTTTCCACAGTTTGAAAAAATATGTAATTTTGTTTTTTTAATACCACGCTCAAACGAAAAATTGATAGAGTGTTTTGAGACTGAACTACGTTTTATTTATATACTAAAATCGTCTTTCGTTTGAAAGCCGAAATAATGCATATGAAAAACGAAGTAATGCATACATGCACAGTTTCGGTTGAAAACCGAAATATGTAATGCATATGTGGAAATACTGAAATTATGCATATGTACACTTTCGTTTGAAAACCAAAATAATGCGTGTGGCTATTTGACATATTATATCTATGAAGAAACCAATCAAAACGTGTTAAATTTTTGTTACTAATATGATCGACCCTGAAATTAAACTGGTTGACCGGGTCATTTCCCTATATTCATATATCTGAATTAATTAATTCAAACTCACAAAATGTTATATTTCATCTACACTTTCTTTCTGTCTTGCAGGAATTACTTATTGAAATCGAAGCTTTCTGTGTCGGCTTCAGTCGTATAAAAGAGGCTGTAGGCTTATATCGCCTTTTGAAGAACTTGGAGCTCGGTGATCATGGGTCTAATGCCAACTCCGGAAGTTTATCATATTCTACAAATAAAAGCGAGAGCATATCACCGAAATGAGAATAAATAATTGTTATTGACTTAAAAATAATCTTACTAATATTATAAATGTGACAGTTTGTATGTTTGGATGTTTGGGAAATCATCACGCGGAAACGACTGAGCGGATGTGCATGAAATTTGGTACGCAGATAGCTTATGGGCCAGATTGGTTAATAGGCTATTTTCGTAAGAGTTGCCACCTGTTAAAAAAGTTTAATTTATTTAATATGCGGGAACGACTGAATGGATTTGAATGAAAATTTGCACACAGATAGCTTATGACCTAGATCGGAAAATAGGCTACTGTTCTTAAGAGTTGCCACCTGTTAAAAAAGATTCATTAAATTAATACCTGGAAACGACTGAATGGATTTGCCTCAAATTTTGCAAGCAGATAGCTTATGACCTACAGTAGAAAATAGGCTAATTTTTGGAAGAGTTGCCACCTGTTAAAAAAGTTTAATTTATTTAATATGCGGGAACGACTGAATGGATTTGAATGAAAATTTGCACACAGATAGCTTATGACCTAGATCGGAAAATAGGCTACTGTTCTTAAGAGTTGCCACCTGTTAAAAAAGATTCATTAAATTAATACCTGGAAACGACTGAATGGATTTGCCTCAAATTTTGCAAGCAGATAGCTTATGACCTACAGTGGAAAATAGGCTAATTTTTTGGAAGAGTTACCACCTGTTAAAAAAGTTTAATTTATTTAATATGCGGGAACGACTGAATGGATTTGAATGAAAATTTGCACACAGATAGCTTATGACCTAGACTGGAAAATAGGCTACTTTTTTAAGAGTTGACACCTGTTAGAAATGTTTAATTAAATTAATATGTGGAAATGACCGAACTGATTTGCATGAAAGTTCGCACGCAGATAGCTTATGACCTAGACTGGAAAATAGGCTACTTTTTTCAGAATTGCCACGTGTTTGAAAAAGAAATTTTGCTCAAAGATGGTTTATGACCTGGACTGAAAAATAGGCTACTTCCTTAACCGGTTTTAGTACACTTACTACGGATTTCGGAAGGATGGTAATAGACTGAAAGTAAGTCCGATAGCTCAAGGCCCCTCCCATACAAATTGGAATTTTCATATTACATACATATCTCTGGAAGCATTTGTGGGAGAGAACTGAAACTTGGTATAGTGATATGCATGTGAAATCAATGTTGGCATTAATCGATTGATGTTTTAATTAGTTAGTTAATTCGATTAAATTCAATCTGATTACAGTTAATCATGATTAATTTTAATCGACTGAAACAGTTAACCGTAACCGCGATATAAAAAATTAATTTTTAATCATTAACTCTTAATTTGATCAAGTAGGTTTGGTGATTAATTAAGTTATGCTGGAATTTTCCTGTGCACACAAAGCAAGTTAATCGGTATGGCTAAGTCGGGCTTCCTCATCAATCTAAGCAATTTGGTGTGCATTTTTATTAAGATATATGTATACCAACAAACGTTTTACAAACTAGGTTTGTAAAAGTTCCCAGTTTATGTATTACTAATAACAATAATAATTATTTTTTTATATTACGTGCTTTTTATAAGCGTAAAACACAAAATAATTACTATAACTGGTGTTTGGTTTCAAACTCGGACAAACTAGACAAATTAATCAGATTTTATATTTAATTGGATTAACGATTAATGTTTTAAATTAATTAAACGTAATCGCAGCCAGCGATTAACGATTAAAAAAATGTTGTCATTAATCGTACAGCTGATTACGACTAATTAATTTTAATCGTCAAACGCGATTAACATTTTAATCCTTAATTTCTAATCGTTAATCAGATTAACAGTTTGCCAACACTGTGTAAAATCATTTTCATATTCACGGAGAAAAATGGACGTTTTTGGAAAAATTGCCGTAGCACCTCCCATACTGGCTGAAAGTTTCATATTGCATATCTCTTCAAATGTTTGGGGTAAAGCACTCAAGCTTGGTATGGAAATACATATGTATACATGTATGTATGTGAAACTAATACCATACTCATGGAGAAAAATGAGAGTTATTGGAAAAGGTGGTGTGGCAACTCCCATGCAAATTGATTTTTCTATGCTGGAGGTGTTTATTGCAGAGGACTGGAACTTGGCATCGAGATGTGTATACAAAATTAATTCCATACTCATAGAGAAGAATTTGTGTTATTCGAAAAGGGGACATGGTTCCTGCCGTACAAATTTACTGTTTTATACTGCTTATCTCTAGAGGTGTTCATGGTAGAGTACTGGGACTTGGTACTGGGGTATGTAAAAGCAATTCTAAATTCATGGAAGAAGATTGGGGTTATAAGAAAAAGGGGCGTGGCACTTCCAGTAAAAATTTACTTTTTCTTGCCACATATCCCTGGAAGTGCTTGTGGAAGCCAGAATAAATTTCATTAAATGGAAAAGGGAGAGCAGGGTTCGACGTTATAATCTAAAGCTCTCTTGAGGCATTTGCTACAGTAATGAGAAGTGGTATTTTATCAAGGCCAGGTTACTAAATTTGAGTTGGAAATATTAGAACTCGCCGTGGCACCACGAAGAAGGTTTCACGTTCACGCGTCGTATACCTGGAAACCTTTTAAGGTAAACTTAGAGGGAGTAGAGAGGAGATTTTATAATTTCATAGTTTTAAACGGCCTAATTACCTTAACTCGCTTAGAAAATAACGAGCTATAACGAAATGGGCACAGAAATAAATCTAACATCATTAAATTATTTTTCCTATTTGTATAAAAGCGCGGGGTGAAACCCGCGGGTATAAGCTAGTTGATCATATATGTGCTCGGGTGCCGACCAACTTAAAACAAATAAATTTTTTTTTTTAAATAGCGGACGCCCCTAGCAGACAATTCAAACCTCCTGCCATGAAAACCAGCTTCTGAGGGTATAAAAATGAGTACTTTAATACTCGATACCTTATTTGGTGATTTTACTCGATACTTTGCAAAGTACTCGTAGTATCGAATACTTTTTAAAAAACACACTTTTTAAATTTTTTCTTCCATTGGCAACCCAATTTTGTTTGCTTATATGGATTATTATCATTCAATTTTGTCCATCACTTAAGATAAACTGAAATCTTTTATAGTCTGTTGCATAACATAAACCAAATAAGTTAAAGTTTAATGGCCTTATTCATGAAAAATAAAGTAGGTCTAAAGAGCTAATAAAATGACATTTTCATATATTTTTCAGTTTATAAGCCTTTTTTATTTTTTATGAATAAGGCCTTACAACTTTACGCAAAGTTCCCGAAAATTCAGAATTTTTAGATACTTTTTGGGTACGCAGTTTTGTAACCTATTCAACTTTACTTGTAGCCTACTACCGTCAAATCTTAATTCAAGCTTGCACATTGTTTACTAAAATTGAATAGGCTACAAAAATGCATACCTGAAAAGTTTACAAAAATTCTTAATAAAATTATAAAATATGTGTGTATGTACATTTAAGGTTAAAATTACTTCTAACGTGAAAGTAAGTTCTGTAATGAAATAAAAATCAAATATTTTAAATTTTTATTGTTTTAATTTCAGGAAATAACTAGATATACGATTGAAGAATAAAATAATTTTAGTATCCCAAAAAACGTATTTTAATGAGTCCGATACTGAGTAGTATCGATACTTTTTCCCTGATACTTTTAGAGTATCGATACCTTGAGCTCGATGCCAGAATGAGTACTCAGTATCGATACCAAAGTCTCAAATTTCGAACCCTAGGCAAACTATAGATAGTCGCGACTATCGTTAGTGGGTGATATTTTTTTGTTTTAACTATCGATAGTCTGCGATAACCGCCTATTTTGAAAAATATAAAAATCTAATTGGGGTGTATTCATTGTCAAAATTAAGTTTGTACTTAAAGTTGGTTGTAACTTTATGGACAGATAACTCATCCAAATTATGTCAACAAGGTACAACTAACTTTAAGTACCACCTTAATTTTGACTATGAATAGGCCCCCATTGCGTTAAATATAGTTTTTTACAGACCATAAGGACCTACCTTAATAATGAATGTATGATTTAAAAAACTAAACATAGTACGTATTTTGATTTCTAAAGCCAATTGTTTTTATTTAAGAAACAGTTATGATATTTTTTTCTACTGAAAACGTTAGGCCAACATAGTTGCTATATATTCTTTTATATAAAAGTATTGCCGCTTTATACAATGCACATTCATCATTTTTGTGTCTTAACTTTGGAAAATTTTCGATAGTGAAAATTCCCGATAGTTTTGAAAAACTATCGATAGTGAAAAATACCAAAACCATCGGTAGTATCGATAATACCATCGATAGTTTGCCACCACTAAGTAGGCGTAGAACTGTACGTTTCTCCCCTTTGTATGAAAACATCAAGTCCCGCACCGCAAATCGGAGGAGTAGCTCGGCCAAATACTAGCGTATTATGTAAACGCTAAGCTATTATTCAGCCCTATTCTGCATTTCGACTCGAATCGAAATTTTCTCCGTTTGGCAACTTTGGTATTCTGCGTTCCGTTTCGTTTCGATCAATCTTCGAAATTTACGATTGTACCTATTCTACATTTCGATCGTAGATACGATTTTCTAAGTTGCAAATTTGTTGACGGAGAACGTTTCGATTGTTATTTTCGTGGGTTTAAATATTAAAATTTTATAAAAAAATTAAGTGCAACATAATGTGCATGATTGTCATCATAAATGAAATCTCTCGATTTCTTTGTTTTCGCGAGCGGTAATACGGGCAATACGAAAAATTGGCTCACATAATGGCAACCAAAAGGGATATTGCGCGACGTTTTCAAAGTGGAAGTCCAGGCGTTTTTGTTTACATCTTATTAATTATTATTATTATTAATATTATAAATGTGAAAGTTTGTATGTTTGGATGTTTGGGAAATCATCACGCGGAAACGACTGAGCGGATGTGCATGAAATTTGGTTCGCAGATAGCTTATGGGCCAGATTGGTTAATAGGCTATTTTCTTAAGAGTTGCCACCTGTTAAAAAAGTTTAATTTATTTAATATGCGGAA